TAATATTCTGACCAAAAATGGGGCGAAGGACTATGGACACTTGTGATCACTCTTTGTCTATCAAAAAAGCATTCTTTCACAGTAGCAAACTCAGTACAAAAGGAAATGAGATAACAACAAATAATAAATTAAAATAACAAAATATAATTTAATTTGGCAAGTTAGAAACTTTTTGTTTTAGCCTCGGTATTGAAAACGACGGTACTGATTTCTGCCGTACCAATTGTTGCGATATCGTCGACGATAACTACTACCACCACTCCTACCACCACCGCCACTTGAAATTGAAAACTGATAAGTGTATCCGTAGTTTCGAATACCACGACGTCGTTGGGCTTCAACACCGGTCATTGATAAGTGGTTTATGCTGGAGAGGAGGATCATGGTAATGAACAACAGTGAACAGGCAAATGAAAGTGAATAAGTTGTCAATTTCATAATGATTTTAAAGTTTTACAAATGTAATATTAAAAATTGTGGATTTTTTATCAAAGTGTGTTTAAAATAAAATATTAACACTCTTTATATAAATCAACACCAAATTGTTTTTAATGAATGCCTCTATTTTTGCGTTTTTCAGTCATTCCGGTAAAAAAAATGCTGCAATAGTGACAAAAAAGTAAATAAGTATGTCATCAAGAAATACAGGAAATGCGCACATTTAAAATGACGCTTTTTTTCAACTACAACAAATTTTATTAAAAGTTAACGGTGAATAAACGCAAAATAGTAACAAACTGAAATTATTACAAAACATTTAAACTGTTTTAAACTCTCAAAAACCGACTACTACGGAATCGACTGCCTCGACGATGGTCGACCGGATTGGTGTAACCATAACTGCGTGGGCCAAATCGACGACGTCCAAATCGTTGAGCTTCAGCCATTTGAAACAAATCACCTGTTAAAGTAGATCCCATTATCAAGATTAAAATAGTTAAAAAGAAAGGCAAAAACAATGAAACAGTTGTTTTTGACAAAAAAATAAGCTTCATGATTAAATATTTTAAAAATTAAATTTTGATTTTTTTTGTAATAACAATGAAATAAAACAATCTTATATTTTGCCACAAAGTTACATTTTGTTTGAAAAAAGGAAATGTGCTAACAATTTTTTTTAATTTTTTTTTAAAATGAGGAAATTCAGTGTGTTTTTACATGACGAAATTTTTATTTTCTTTTACTTCCACTTTTAGCAGAAAAAACGGAAAACCACTCAAACTTACTTTCATTACTGTGTCTTTGTTCTATTACGACTTGGAATGTTGTGATTATTGTTGAACCAATTGCCCAGACTAGGATACATCTGACTGCCTGGAGTCGTCAGACTGTTTGAGCTGCTTGAGCCGGGTGGAAAGGCGGGCTGATCGTTTGGATGCCAGTTAATGCCACCGCCCACGGCGCTGCCGTCATTGTTCTGCGGGCCAAAGCTGCCGCCGCCGCCGCTGCCAAAGTTTGCATGGCCACTTCCGGCGCCATTGCTGCCAAAACCGCTGCGGATGCTGCCCACTCCGACGGCCAGGCCGCTGCCGGCACTGCGATCACTGGGAGAAGCCCAAAAAGGCGGAGAGCCAGAGTTGCTGTCCGGTCCTGAGCCGGAGTTGCTATTCGGTCCTGAGCCGCTGTTACTTCCTGCTCCACTGCTTCGAGCGCTCATGCTTCCGGTGCCCGGTGCCACGCCGCTGCTGCTGCTGATGCCCTTGGTGCCGCTGTCATTGGTGGGCCCCGAAGCGCCGCTGTTGCTGTTTGGCCCCGAGCCGCGGTGGTGCTCCGGACTACCGGCGCCGACGTACGTTCCATTGGGGCCGCCTGCCCTGGGCATTGGCCACCCATAGTAGCGAGGACGGCGAGACTCAATTGTGCATATTAGCAGTAAAAGAAAAAGTTCAGAGCAAATGAAAAAGGTTTTCATGTTTGATGTCTGAAGAACAATTGGAGTTTGTTAGTTGATTAATTGATTGATCAGTTTGATCGGTTTTGTACATCCTAGCCGGGGAAACACCTTGTGTTTTTATACTAACACTAGTAACTGTATCACATGTTTGCTGACCAAAAAGAAAAAAATGTTGTTTGTGCGGTTTTGATGGTTGCAACAAACAACAACAACAGCGTGTGTGTGAGTGTGTGTTGCAAACACGCGCAAAACACGAGCATCTGTCTAGTGCAACAGATGGTTGGTGCTCTTGAATTGTATTAATTAGAAGTATTAGCAGTAGTAAAAAGTTGATTATTGCTACATTTTGGTTTGATGATTATTGTGTGTGTGATTGACAGAAATGCATTTTGAGGCATACTGGTGCTACCTTCCGATGCAAAATTTTATAATTAGTTTGTTTTGACGAGGCACAGTTTACACAAATATTAATAGTTTCAGTTTACAACATTAAAACAGTTTTTGCTTAATATTGACATTTTTAAATTAATTTGTAAAAAATAGTTATAATTAATAACAAGAAACTAAAGAGTGAAAACAAATGCTCATAAGGAATCGCCCAAAAGGAGAACCGCTAAGTTGACAAAAAAATTCAACCGAGAATTGAGTGCATTTTTAAATTCTTCTCCTCAAACCATTTCCGACAATACCCCAAATGCAACATCAATTCCGTGCGCGAAAACCTTAAAAATGGTGTCGAAGTTGTACCTTTGACTGTACAAAAAAGTTTTTCAGAAAGTTGCAGAAACTTTACAGAAAAAATTCATTGTACAGTCAAAGGTACAACTTTAACGCCGTTTTTAAGGTCTTCGCACACGGAATTAATATTGCATGTGGGTTATTGTTGAAAATGGTTTGTCAAGAGGAATTCAAAAATGCACTCAATTCTCGGTTGAATTTTTAAGCCGTTTTACCGGTCTTCCTTTAGCGGTCCTCCTTTTAACATACTCAAAAATTTTAAAATTACACATTGTTGGAAAACTAAAATTGCCTTGATCACAAATGTGTAAATATTTAAAAAAAACCCAGAACGGTTCCCGAGAAAACCGGGCCCGAATTGTAACTTAACCTACTGCTGCTTACGCCATCTATTGAGTTGAAACCGGTGTTTTATTGCCAAATTGCATATTTTGGTCAACTTCGGATCCGATTTTTTCGGGAACCGTTCTGGGCTCCACTGATTTACTTTAATAATTAATTTTGCTTAGTTTTTTTGTTAAAAAAGTTTGATCAATTAATAAAACTTTTGTATAACAAACTCATTTTATTTTACTTTACAAGTACATGTACAAACACCGCTGTAATTGTGCGTGTGTATTTGTTTATCAGATAAGAAAAAAGTTATTTTTTAATGTTGCTTATTTCTTGTTGCCCCGAGGAAGATCACCACCGAAGAAACTGTTGCGGAAACCGCCTGGAAAACCGTCCGGAGTAGAGGGCATGTCACCGGAAGAAGGTGGGCCAGAAGGAATGTCACCGAAAGAGGGAGTAGACATCATCATGCCACCAAAGTTAGGTCCGCTGCCTTCATTGTCTCCACTTCGAAAACCAAAACTGCCACTGTCTTCATTTTCTTGTGGGCTGAATCGGCCATTTTTTCCTCCTCCAGGACTTAGATTGCCTCGTCCACTGTTGTTGTCAGAAAAGTCTCTGTCACCTTGAGAATCTTGACAGGAGATTAAGGTCACCATCAGGACTAGAAAAAAAGCTGAACAAACAAAGAATTTCATAGTTAAAAATTGAAAAAAGTTGTTTAAGTTTTAAAATCGTTTGAAGTTTTTGGATGTTTTAAACTGGACAAACTGCTCGTCTTTTTATACTAAAAAGCTTGCTAAATGAAGTTCATTTTTCAAAAACTAAAGTCAGTGCTATAGCTGTTGTTGTTGTTTTTAGGTGCAAGGTGCAACCAGTGGCAATTTTCAAGTTCACAGTTGACAGTCCGCAACTTNATGCAACCAGTGGCAATTTTCAAGTTGACAATCTGCAACTTGTCCAGTGCAACAGGTGCTTGGTGCATTTAATTCAAACTGTTGCGTTATGGGCATTTTTTTAAAGTAAAAATTAATAGTCTAATAAACATGCTCTTTAGATTTGAATGTAAAAGTGTGCATTTTTGCCACCAATTGTACGAGTTTAAACACCGTACATCGCTGACGATGATGCTCAACAGCAGTAAACTCGCATATTGGCAGAAGAAACTTACACAGCCGGTAAAAGGGATAAAAAAAGTACAGCATGAAAAGATTAGCCAGTGCACCAAACACCTGAGTTTACTGTAAAGTACTTTGGAGTCACCAAACCAGACAGGGAACAAACAGGACAGACGCACTTGAACGCCACTTTTCAGCAATTCTTGCACAGTACATCAGCACAATTCAGTTTATCAGCTGTTGTTGTTGTTGCTGAATTCAGTTGCAAGCAGACAACAGAACAAAAACAGTTTTTTATTTCAAGTTCAAACAAAAAAACAAATTCAGTATAAAAGAACCGCCAGTTTGACCAGTTTAGAGCATCAGCAAACCACAGTTGAACAACTGAACATTACCTCCTCAAATCATCTCTACTTACTCTTCCAAACCTTTTTTACTTAGAATCATGAAGTTCTTTGCCTGCTCAGCTCTTCTAGTCCTGCTGGTGGTGGTGGCCTTGGTCAACGCTCAAGGCGGCGGCCGAGGTGGTCGAGGTGAAAACGGAGACAACGGCCGAGGCAACTTTGGTCCTGGTGGTCGAGGTAACGACAATGATAACC